AAGTTGTTCGACCTCTATTGGAAAATAGGTTCTTATGCGGATGCCTCGATATTACCTGAATATTTATTACGGTAATTTGCAGGGGTCAAACAATTCAGTCTAGAGGAACAGCGGAGAATTACAACCATATCAATAAAAAGTAATAACTAATACCCATTTTACAAGAGATGGCTACCGTGCCTCAGTGGCCTGATGGATGATGCTTTAGCGTTTGAAGTGATAGGTACGCCGTTCGAGTCTCAGTGGGAACAACGTCACTCACTGAAGTGCAGATCCCAAATAAGGCGAACTGCGCATCCTGGGTTCCTCTGCTAGCCACAACCAAGTAAATTACACACTAAAATGTCGTTGAAACTATAAGCGAAAAGGCAGCTAGGAAAAGTTAAGAACAAACTTGAAGCATTGTTGGAAAATTTTCCCACTTAAATTCGAAACTTTCTAGTCACTGTATATAATCTCAAACTTAAACCTTAAAGTTCCAGAATGATGAACACATCAAAAACAATATGGGATTTCATGTAAATGTATAACTTTCCAAGTGATCGCATTTCTTATAAGTACACGAAACAAGAAGTCATTCAAATTGTGTAAGTTTTCAATGAAATCGAACATCACTGTGTGGATTCAGTTGAAACGCAAAAAGTAGGAAGATAACTTGATGCATACACTTCATACATCACTTTTAAAAAATTATCGTAACCTTCAAATATACACTTCTGACATAAATAATAACAAAAAAGTACTTTACTGGATCGAAGTTGTCAAACATGAGGAAAATCACCATCAAGATCAACGTAGGACAAGGTCTTACTGCGTAACAGTCCAAGTTGCCACATTTCATATCAACACATCAAGTAACAAAACAATAAAATGGAAGAAAAAAAGAAAATCGGTCAAAGGAGGTAGACGTAGAAAGTAGTAAAAGAGAGGAAGGAAGAATGAGATGAGACTGGGTAAAGCGGTTAAGATGAGGATAATGTGTGTATACATCTGCGCCACTGACATCGATTTCTGAGCTATATCACCTAGAGTCTCCAAGCGTTGGTTTCTCTTGTCCCACGGATACCAACCGGCTAGTCTGCATCGCCCCACATGTCTCAAACTAACAGTCGACGACTTGATGCATTGATGCCATGTTTTAGTCTGGCCGCTCCCAGCCATTTTCAAGAATGAACTTGCTTTAGCCAACATTGCGTGACGAGGCAGATGGTGGCTAGGCATACGTAACACATGTCCCAATCAACTCAACCGATAAAGATACACAACCGCACCAACTGACTTACCTCTCCCACAAAAAACTCGACACCTGACTTTTGTGTTACTCACGTGTTGACATCACAAAACACGGCCTATGCTATGAAGGAAGCAGCGGTCAAACACTTGAAATCTCGTGTCTTCTACCTTTAATGGCCACTTTTAACAGTCACAAAGTAAAACAAAGCGGACTTCAGCACAGTACACTCCACTCTTAATAGAAAATCGGATATCGAGGCGGTGCCACAGTTGGTAAAAGCCAATCGAGACTCTTGTATTTGTGCAGATTTCCTCGGCCACTGACTAATGCACCGGGACTGGTCCAACTTCCCAAGTAAGTGAATTGTTCAACGCGCTCAACCAATTTACTCTCTATTGTTGGTCGCAGTACCATTCAAGACCAGTCCTGGAGCAACGATTTGGATTTGGGTGGCAAGAAACTCATGCCAAACATTTTCAAATCGCCACGCAGGGTGTCCAGAAGACTGCATCTTATCAGCGTCTTCACTTAACAGGACTATGTTATCTGCGTATTCTAGGTCCTCAAAAACCCTCGCCTTTTTCGAAAGTGAGAAGAAAAAAAGCACACAGATCTTTTACTCCAGAATGGTGCGTGTAAGCGTACATTAAAGACTGAACGAAACTAATGGATAGACTCACGTAACCATAAAGGCAACTGTTCTATGCACTCAACTTACAAAGGGTGCCAACCTGGCCCCAGCTACCAAAATCTTGGCAACCAGGAAATATCCTTAGCCATTACACAATAGGTATGATCGATTGTCTTCTGCACAAGTGTATATATGATTATTGAATTACATTTCGGTTCGATTCAAACCATTTTAATAATAACCACCTTTTGTCTTGTTTACTGTTACTAAAACATGTGTTATAAGGAAATATTTAACGGAACTATTTTATTGTACAGGCGATTTACAATAACAAATCGATTTTATCTAATGACAATCACTTAAACATATGAAAAACGGTATCCAGCCGTTGTCGAAGACAGAATACGGGGAAAACTGAGTATTATACAAAAGAAGACAGATAATTTCTTATTATTGTATGTGTATTGCAAGGGTATGAAGACTCAGCAATCAACTGATAGCCCCCTCCTCCTGTTTCTAGTTCACTTATACATGTGAAGCTGTGATAAAGTGATTTAGAGAGATGATTATCAACCACTGGGTCACGGGTTCAACTCCCGTTCCACCTACCGAGTTTAAGGCAGCCATCAACACAATAGATGTGGCTCATCGCCTACTGAACGAATATACACAAGGTAAGTGAGTGCGTTGCTTCTTCTTTTTTCACTTGTACATGAATAAGACATGGCATAATAGCTAGTGTGATAAGACAGATATGTGCGTCTTGTTATTCATAATTCACTGAGGAAGAAATGTATTTAGAGATGGTAATGAATTTGAAGTGCAGTTGACAGTTATGCTACTTCATAGAACAAGTAATACAACATTAAAAGAGAAACATACACACACAGACGTATGACCAATTTAGCTATAAATCTTCAGAGAATATGTTTGTCTGTTTGTTTATTTATCCATTTGTTACTTATAAGACAGATAGGTGATTAATTTATGTCATCAAAGTGCAATATGAATCAGCAAAAACTTTATCATTCCTTTTCTAGCATGAATAAATGGTGTAATGTACAACAACAAACTCTTGGACATGTATATACATCAGTCTTTATCAAGCAGGATATTTAGTTCTTTTAAGCGAACGAATAAACGTATATCAATTGAAAGGATGGATTTTTTTCTAAACAAACAGTAATATTTGTCAAAGAGTGATTTACTTTCCCCCTTTTTTCATCTTGACAATAGACATCTATCAAATGAAAAGAAAAGCGTGGAGAGGGATGGACTATCAAATAATCGGATTATTAGAGTTTATTGACTAACTCTACTAGGGGTTATATGTACTGATTGTTCTGTAATATGATGTGATAAAAGACAAACAGTAGAAATTAATTACGCTATCGATGAATATTTTTTGTCCAAAATTGTCAAATGTTAGCAGATATCGAATATATACCTACTGGTAATGCAAGAATGTGTTGTTAACTTTCGACCTATGATTTACACATCCTAGCTGACATAGTATATTAGTACACAGTCGATTCATGTAATAAACATGTATTATTTTCATTATTTACCTTATCCTAAAACTAATGAGTTGGAATAGCATGATGTAGCAAGCCAATCGTTGTGATAACTCTTGGTTGTATTGTATTATCTGACCTGGGTTGTTTAATCGTGAAGCTTTCATCGTCTTACTAGATGACATCATCAGCACTAACCTCAGTATGAAGTGAGCTGTCAATATCTCTCTATGAGTGACTTAGCAGCTTGCTCTGACTAACTGGTTTGTGAATGGTTGTTTCCTTTGATTGTTGTGTCATTGACTATATAGATTTCCCTATTCACTGTCTCTCTGCTTGATCTCTGACCTTTCTGTCGTTTGTCATCTTTCTTATTGGTTGATAGATTGGGCCTATGTCTATACATCCACTGATTGCCGACTGGCCGACTGACTGACTGACTGAATGCCAAGCTTCTAGACATTCTCTGATACCTTTTGTGTTTCCTCTGTCCAAAATTTCTACATTGTCAAGACTGAATTCATGTCCATAATTATCCACATGCATTGAAATGAGTGACGTTCAATAGCCAATTGGTGTTCATGTAAATGATGAAGACGAAGATGGCGACTACTTTGTCCAATGTAGTGTTGAGTATAGTTATTGCAGTTGATTTTGTAAATGATGTTTGGTTTGTCTTCGTTGGTTGTTGCATCCTTTGATCTGGATGATAGTGTTTGCACGAAATTTTTTGGTTTATGATCACTCCAATCACTAGCTTATTAACAAACACATGGAGTTGTCAACCGGTTATCGATATTATTAATTTACTCAAAATCAGTGATTCAGATTTCGGGAGTCTACACTATAACTTGTTGTGACCGATAGCACCTCCTCATGCTAAAACACCGATGGTAATAGTGATACAGTTATTCAATGATCGTATTAACCGGCTGGTGCTGGGATCCATTCGTCAGTAGCATATTTTTTCACTGATTGAGATACATAAAGAAAATATTCACTGAAGATGGTCTAGTCTGTTACAGAACCGGATTTATATACATATGAGAGCCGAGGAGTTACTATCATTCTCATCCATCAATGCAACATAATCCATATTATCAGGATACCAGTCAATCAAAAGACACTATTGCACTACCGATCTCTATTTCGAGAGGGAGGGGTTATGGTGTGTATCAAAATTGCCAACTAATCGTTTTATTTTGCGAAGTTTCGAGAAAAGGTACGTGAATCTACATGTAAACACCTGATTGGTTGATGAGGTGAAATCAATAAAAGGTGTCCTTCTAGAAAGACCAATAAATAGTCAAGGTCATTGTAAATAAACCGTTGTATTTCGTGGGTATTTTGACGTTACAATACAATCTATGTGATCTTGCCGCCCTTTCAATTTAGTAAGAAACTTAACGACCATCAAGGGGTGGAATCTGAAGGTTACTGTTCAAGTGTCAACACTCTCACACAAAAACTCAGGGTAAATTAGGTGATGACTACAAGAATACAACATAGTATACTTAGTTTCAAGTAGTGCCATTTTTTGCATTTATGCGATGTATTCACACTAGTGTGAACTATCAATATATTGTTAACAGGAAAATTGAGATGATAAAAAAGTACCTACCTTATTTGTAACTTTAGCACTGGCCACTCGTTGTCCACTTTGACGATCCCATACATAGAGTGTATGATCCTCTTGACTGCCGATACTCACTAAATATTGATCATTTGGACTGAAACGAACTGCTGCAACGCGAAAATGATGACCACCAAATTCAGCCAACTGACAACGATCTGTCGCATTCCATAATCGAACCATTGGTTGGTGGCCCGACTGACAAGGTAGGGAAGAAAACAGATGGCAGTAATCATTGAAATAATTTGACTTTTTTTACCATGTAGAATTACAATAAAACAAAGCCTACACAATACAAAACTAAAAATTTGAAGTAGGATAGGTATGAAGAGAATATATGCAGCAGTTAGATGACTTAGTAAAATAATGTACTGCAAAAACCATGTTTGTTACATTGCAGTGAAACGGCATTGTGTTTTGTCCCAGAACTAAACAAAAAGGAAGACTTTATCCCGGGATTGGCCTACTGACAACTGACAAAATCAACGTAGAACCTCGAACACAGGTGGATATAAAAAGACATATCACAGTAGACAAAGTTGTGTGTGGAAAAAAACAATTTGAAGATAACGTCTAGTGCAAATATTCAAGCTTTAGAAGATACCAAGGAATGAATACATCTGCGACATGTCACTAAGAGTTCTCAACCAATGATTACTATCGTCTCGAGGACCCCAACCAGGCCGTTTACATCTCCCTGCACAGCCTAGACTAACAGTCAGTGACTTCATCGACCAGTGCCACGTCTTGGTCTGGCCACCCTGAATGCTTTTCCAACCTTATCCAGCTTCAACTACTATTGGATATCGAGGTAGGCGATGGGTCCTCATTTGCGGTTCATGTTCAAGCCATCTCAGCTGGTGAAAGTCCACAGCCTCGTCAGTCGACCTGCCTGTATTGCTTGGTACCCTTCGCCTAACCTCAATGTAGATATGTAGATATCTGTGATCAAAACCTTGTAATCGCTTCGTGTCTGCTACTTTTAGCTATCATGTCTCACAGCCGTACCCTGGGATTAGACAAATAAGAATCGGCATCCTTTGAGAAAATAGTATGCAGATGACAAGAGCAGCTTTTCTAAATCCTACAAGTACGGTTTAAATAGGCGCATAGCTCTAACATATCCGAACATACGAGTGTACGGCGAAGGAGATGGAAAGCGTAGTCTTTATCGGGTGGTTGAAATACAAGCTAACTTTTGAAACTAGTCTTCATCTGAAAAAATTTCTTATGGGAAAGAAATCATTGCAAATCAATCAACCATTTGATAAGAGAAGACTAAGTGATTACTAGTGTCTTACTGTGTTATGTTAACAGTTGGTAGAAGATAAATACAGTATGCCATTGGATTTCAATCGAACAGTTGTGCTATCGGGTTCATTTTTGTGTAGGTTGTGAGTAAACAATATTGAGAAAATTGAAATTAGAACGAAACAGCTGACTAGTATTACCTGGTAGTCAGGGATTTTCTTGTCTAAACTTCAGTCCTTAATGAAAGTTAATCTCTAATTAAATAAACCAATCAAACAAATATTTATACTGGGTGATGATTGAAAGTGAAATGAAAATTTGGACAACAGCCGGATTTGAACCAGTGATCACCGGGGTTTCCGACCCGATGCTCTACCATCTGACCCACGACTTCCAAACTATGACTATCTCAGATAGTCAAATCGGTAATCAATATGATGCTCCACCTCTCTGATTCAGTTACATTTCGATTAAAATGAGAAGTCCTAACTACCCAGTCAGTGTGAATACGATCAAGAGATAGTAACGCGTTACAAATTCACACGGTAGTCGGACAAAACTCTTGATGATTGAAGTGAAATAAAAATCTCGTCAGCAGTCGGATCTCATAGCTCAGTTGGCAGAGCATCGAACCAGAAACTCGATGGTCGCTGGTTCAAGTCCGGTCACGGCCCAAATTTTCATTTCACCTTTTCTCAGTGACAATACTAGTCTGCCAAATCATGGCTATCTAAGATAGTCAAGTGATAATCAATCAAACCAACGAACTTTTGATTCGAAGTCAGTATTATTTTGAATAAACTCATTTTTTGATTCTAGATTTCTCTGACTAGTAGAAAAACAGAAGACAATAAGTTCTTAATAAATACCTCTAAGAATATTCAGAAAAACTTCTCTTAGTCACAGTTAATAATTGTGATTGCAAAATGGAAAGAGCTGAATAAACACTATACACCTTAGCAAACAAGAGATTCAACCGACTGAATTCCTATGATGACTAACCTGGTAAGAAAAGAAATTCAGTGTTTTATAATTTGATTACACATCCTCTCTTCATCAAACAAATCGAAAATTCATGAAAATAATTGAAGGTGGTGAATAAATCTAAGTAAAAACCAAAATGAATGTATCGACACATTTCTAGCATTTTATCTAAATATCACCGGAATTTCAAGAGGGTCCAATACTACCTATATAGTTTAAGTCAACAATGAATTACTTTATGCTTAGGTTTCTTCCAGTAATCGTTTTAACTAACACCAGTTTAAGTATAAAAAGTGATCAATGAGAATATTCAATATACATTTTTCTATAGTCTTGATTGATACTTGCTCATTTCAACAAATTGTTTATGTCAATATCAACCAGTCAGTGCTTTCATGTAACTGTGTCAAGTATTTTAAAGGCATCAGTAAGAGTGAAACTGAGCGGTAAATTCGTTTTCTTGCTGAACAATGAGATATCTTGTTATTTACAAAGGTAGGTAGGCATTATTATTATTATTATTAATATTTGTCCCTTGGGTTCCTAGTGGAACAAAGGGCCCAAGTAGTACGTCTCCAATTCACTCTCTTCTCTGTAGTCTTTTGAACATAGCTCTACGACTGCCCACAAGCTCTCATTTCTTCCTCATACGATCTCCTCCATGTCACCCTCAGCTGGGACACCTAACTCGTCGTTTCCCATCTGGGTTCCACTCGAGGGCCTGACCTGGCGCGTGATGTCCCCAGTCGGCCTTCTCAGAGTATGTCCAATCCAATCCATCTCCACTTTCTTCTGCATATTTCTTGGGTGATAGGTTGTTGGTTGGTTCGTTGCCGACCAGCCAGCCAGTCAGAGTTCCTTGTTGCTTATTCATATTATTCTGGCCATCTGATCTTCAGTAACGAGAGTAGGCACTTGCTGATAAATATCTGTAGTTTATTGAAAATCCCTTTCGTAACGCGCCAAGTCTCTGAACCATACAGAAGCACTGACTTGACATTGGTGTTGAAAATCCGGATCTTGTCCACGCTTTATGCTGAGTGCAGATCTCCACATTCGTTTCAGGTTAATGAACGACTGACTTGCTTTTCCAATCCTGGCTTTGACGTTCCCGTCTGTGCCGCCTGTAGTTGAAACGATGCTGCCTAGATAGGTGAAAGAGGCCACTTCCTTTAAGTTTCTCCCGTTGATGGTGATTGGAGGTATGAACTAATAAAACGGTTTTCAGTTAACACGTAAGCAGTTCGAATCCCGGTCCAGACTAACAAGGTCTAAGTAACCCAGTGGGATCCATAGCCTTACTATAATACTTTTGATTCATTATCTAGTACACTTGGTTGCTCAGTCACAATTGCATTTAGATACAAAAGGTAAAAAATACATTCTTGTTTAAGAAAAGTAGTAAAAGCTTATAGAGATAGGAATACAAACCAGTAAAAATGAAGATGTTGAAAAGCTAAATTATATTAGTATATGATTGTTTTTATATCATACCGTCGTTGATTGGACAGAATTGATCGGTCTCTATTGTCATATGGGATCCTGTGCGGATGCCTCGATATTACCTGTGCTCTTATGATAGTAATGATGGATAGTGGGTAGCAGTGGAATCCAGGATGTGCATTTCGTCCTATTTCCAACCCGCCAGCCGAATGTACCTGCCTCCCAGTGAGTGATGTTGTTCCCAACGGGATTCGGACTCGGGAGCGATCGCTTCAAACGCCAGAGCGTTATTCACTACAGCACCGAGTCACGATAGCCACTTCTTGTGCGACGGGTATAGTTTTCAGCATATGATTGTTTTTATATCATACCGTCGTTGATTGGACGGTATCTATCATTACTAAATTTTATCAGTTAAAATAATGCAGATTGTTTTATACTAAGGAGAACCGATATGACAAAAAAAATAAACATAAGGAGACACCATATGTAATTTTTATACTTTTCTCTATGATAAACTTTACAGAATTAATGCACTTGTTCTAATATCGAGTCACGTGTACTACTGGGACTGTGGCTCAGTGGTTTAGGGGGATGACTACCAACCATTGGGTCACACGTTTGAGGGTTGGGCAGCCAGGTAGTATCACTAGCCCTCACACAATAGGTGTAGCTCATTGCCTATTGCAGCGATGTGCACAAGCTGGCCGAGTGCGTTTCAGTACTACTGGAAGTATGAGGGCGGTTGACACTTCCCCGTTTCTCACACCAGGGAAGGTTATTTCTTCTTAAAGTACCTGAAAGGGAAAAAGATTTATGTGACTACAGAGTTCATAGGACATCTGCCTGAGGCCTGTCACACACAGTCGTTTGCATATTGTCGCTTTAAGATTTGGTTGTTCTAACGTCAGACTGAGAAAACCCAAACCATCCGCACCGACAAGGACGAGTGTGCTATTCTGGGGGCCAACCATTTCGAACCTCAATTCCCACACAGAAGGCAGCATTAACATGGCACTGCTGGTCATCCAAGAGAAACACCTTACTGCTGTTACCCCATCATAGTGTAGCAATTTACACTGCAACGGAAACTTTTTTTCGTCCCGCCACCATCCAACAGACCTTTCTGGCATGGTAAGACCCCGAGGGAAAAAATGTCCCACCAGTATAGCTTATTGGGTCATTGAGATATACAAGACCGGTCACCACGTCAAAGAACCAGCTACTGGTCGAGCATGGTCGCGATGGGTGAAAGGTCCTCGGATCCACGGTATCCTGCATTATGATAAAATTCAAGTCATGAAATATTTGAAAACTTTCAGCAGAATATAAGTGTGCTCCGTACCTTTTGAGATCTTCCCCAGAGCATATACATATTTATTTGGAAAAGAGAGTAGTTTAACTAGTTGACAACGCAAAATGTCTTGTCAGAGAATACGATCAACACTTGAATGTGAGTCCTTCGATCTCACCTTCCCGATCGTTCAAAATCTTTCAACAAGAGAATGTGATATTCCAGA